AGGTTTTGGTGACTACTTAAACTCAAGAACTAACTACAGTTATTGAGTCGTTTCCCATTCATAGTGACCAGAACTGCACCTGCAGGCTTCTGAGACTAAATCTTTACAGATGAGGCAGAAAGCCTCATCTTTCTATCATGGAACAACCACTGCCAATTCTGACTCCTTATAGGACAGAATGGAATTTTCCTGTCAGTGGTTTTCTTTTTGTTATTGTTATTCTGATTGTTTTTGGTTTTTGTTGATATTGTTTGGTTTGTTTTTACTTCCTTTGTTGTTTTATTTGGATTTGACAGGTTTTTGCACTTATTAATATATCTGCATGTTTACCTAGATAAGATAGGTGGGATAAATAATTCAGAGATGAAAAGAATGGGACCAATGATTCCAAGGGGATACAGGAAAAGGGGGGGTAACCAACCCAGAGACAAGGGAACAACACGTGAACTATAATCAATGGAAGGAAGGTCATAGGATGCCTAATGGGGCTTAATCAAGTGCAATGTAGCAGTGAGGAATTACTAAACCAAAATAAAAGCCGAACATGATGGTCGGACAAGAGGAAAGTAAAAGGCAATAGAGGAAAGAACCAGGAGGCAAAAGACATCTACAGAGGCCTAAATACAGGCATGTACATATGTAAATAGATATATAATGAGAAGGGAATACTACTATGTACTCTTATCTATGTGTTAAGAATTAAGGTTACAAATGGACATTGGGCCTCGACTCAAGTACTCCCTTAAGACAAGAACACTTAGTACTAACAATCCAGCATTCTGTGATGCTCACCTTCCCGACATGATTGCTAAAGACAAAATGGGTGCATAAGTGTGGAATGAGACCCCAAACCCATCTGTAGGCAACTGGACATCCATCCACTTACAGAAGGGTCACAGGGAGCACAAAAGCCAGTCAGGGTGCAGTGTAGCAATGATGAAACATACAACTTTCCTCTGGTTCTTTAATGCTTCCTCCCCCCACTATCATGATCCCAATTCAACCTTACAAATCTGGCTAGACCAGAGGATGTACACAGGTACAGATAGAAACTAGAAACACAGGGAATCCAAGACAGATGAACCCTTCAGGACCAGTGGCAAGAGTGGCGATATTGGGAGGGTGGAGGGAAGGTGGGGTAGAAAGGGGGATACAATCACAAGATCTACATATAACCTCCTCTCTGGGGGAGAGACAACAGAAAAGTGGGTGAAGGGAGACGTCGGACAGTGTAAGACATGAAAAAATAATAAAAATTTATAAATTATCAAGGGTTCATGAGGGAAGGGGGGGCGGAGAGGGAGGGGAACAAATGATGAGCTGATACCAAGGGCTCAAGTAGAAAGCAAATGTTTTGAGAATGATGATGGCAAAAAATGCACAAATGTGCTTGACACAATGGATGGATGTACGGATCGTTGTAAGAGTTGTACGAGCACCCAATAAAATGATTTTTTTAAAAAGGTGCATAAGCAAATGTGATGAAAGCTGAAGGTGCCCGGCTATCAAAAGATACAGCATCTGGGGTCTTAAAGGCTTGAAGATAAACAACAAATGGCCATCTAGCTCAGAAGCAACAAAACCCACATGGAAGAAGCACACCAGCCTGTGCAATCATGAGGTGTCAATGGGATCAGGTATCAGGCATCTAAGACCCAGAACAAAACCATGTTTTGTTCTGTATGGGAGGAGGGGGGGTGCATGAAGTGGAGATCCGATGCCCATCTATAGACAATTGGACATCTCCTCACAGAGGGATCACAGGGAAGAAATCAGCCAGTCAGGGTAGAGTATAGCACCGATGAAACACGCAAGTTTCCTCTTGTTCTATGTTGCTTCCTTCCCCCCACTATCACAACCTCAATTCTACCTTACAAATCAGATTAGACCAGAGCATGCACACTGCTACAGATGATAGCCTGCAACACAGAGAATCCAGGATATAGACCCCTCAGGGCCAACAATGAGAGTAGAGATACCAGTAGGATTGGTGGAGGGGGAGGTGAAAAGGGGGTAATTAATCATAAGGATCAATGTAGAACCCCTCCCAGGGGAACAAATAGCAGAGAGGTGGGTGAGGGGTGGTGGAGGACGATGTAAGATATGAAAATAATAATCTATAACTTATTGAGGGTTCGTGAAGAAGGGTGAGCAGGGGAGGGAGGGGGAAGAAATGGGTAGCTGATATCAGTGGCTCAAGTGAGAAGAAAATGCTTTGAAAACGATGACTGTGGCATATGTGCAAATGTCCTTCATATACTGGATGAATGTATGGATTGTGGTAAGAGATGAAAGAGCCCCCAATAAAAGTATTTTTAAAAAAATCAACAATGAGGAGGATGCAGAGATCTTGGGGGTGTTAGAGCAATAGTAATCTAGCTGAGAGAAATTACTAAGAGGCAGAAGAAGAGTGAGCATGATGGTAGGGCAGGAGGAAGGTAAAAGGAAACAGAATAGATCTCGGAAGCAAGGCTCTGGATAGAGGTATAAACACAGGTATGCACTCATGTAAATATATAAATCATAAAAATAGAGGTATTGGCCTATGTACATATATTTATATGGCAATACATTAAGGAAGTGGACGGATTTGGGGGCCCCTGTCAAGCCCTCCCCAAACGCAAGAACTCTTGGTTCTAACAACCTGGCATTTTGTGATGATCACGGAAGACAAAATTTTGGTGCACAAACGTGATAGAGAAAGCGGATGGTGCTTGGCTATCAAAAGATATAGTGTCTAGGTTCTTCAAGGCTTGAAGTTAAAAAAGAGGCCATCTAGCAGAGAAGCAACAAGACCACATGGAAGAAGCACACCAGCCTAGGCAATCATGAGGTGTTGAGGGGATCAAGGTAAGACATCAGAAGACCACAAACAAACTAACAAAAATTGTTGAGAACAATGGGTGGGGGGGTCGGAGTAGAGACCTAAAACCCATATGTAGACAGTGGGACATCCCCTCACAGAACGGTCACAAGGAAGGGATGAGGCAACCAGGGTGCCGTATAGCACCAATGAAACACACAATACTCCTCTGATTCCTTGAGGCTTCCTCACCCCCCACTATTATGACCCCAGTCCTGCCTTTCACTGCAGGCTATCCCGGAGCCTGTACACAGGTACACACGGAATCCAGATCAGATAAGCCCCTCAGGAATAGAAACGGGAGTTTCTAAATACCAGGTGGATCGGGGGAAGGTGGGAAGGGGGGGGGGGAGGAAACCATTGGGGAAGAGAAGAAGTGGCTGATATAAAATATGAAAATAATAATAATTTATAATCTACCAAGGAGTCAGGAAGGTGGGAGGCGGGAGGCAGGGAAAAAAGAGGAGCTGATACCAAGGGCTCAAACTGAAAGTAAATATTTAGAAAATGATGGCAACATATGTACAAATATGCTTGATACAACTGATGTATGGATTGTTATAAGATCTACAAGAGTCTCCGAATAAAACGATCTTAAAAAAAATAATAAAGAAAGTTGTAGCGTTTGATATTGAGGCACCTGATGAAGGTATCCCTAACAGGTACAGGTACAGCATCAGGTGAGAGACAGTTGTGTATCAGCACACAGTGAAGGGTAATTTGGTGTCTTACAACTCTCCCCATATCAGAACATCTCATCTGTCAAGCACAGAAATCATCTGGTTTTCAAGTACATTTAGTTTGAAATTCGTTTGATTTGGACTAAGCATAATAAGCCACACTTCAATAACTGTATGGTTCCATGGCTCCAACCTATGCGTTTTGGATTTAAAGCAGATATAGATGGCACTCACATAGTCTGTGATTTTAAAGCTTTTTCATTTGTACAGATAAGTCTTTGGGGTCAGCTTTCTGCCATTCATCAAATATTTACACATGCTACAATTCTTTACCTATTCCCTTTCAGTTGTTTGCAACTTAGAGCAACCTTTTATAAAATTTCTAATTTCTTTAAAGGAGCAGAGACCCTCAATTTTCTCTGAAGGATAAGCTGGTAGGTTTGAACCACTGAACTTAGGATTAGCAATTCAATGTTTAACCAAGAACACCACGCTTAAGCAACAGCACCACCAGAGCTCCTTGTACTGGGTACTCCAAACCAAACCAAACCAAACACTGATTTCAACTCGCAGTGACCCTATAGGACAGGGTAGACTGCTCCTGTGGGTTTCTAAGACTATAACTCTCTATGGGAGCTGAAAGATTCATCTTTCTCCCTGGATTGACTGGTGGTTTTGAGCTGCTGACCTTGTGGTTAGCAGCCCAACACATATCCACTATGTCATCAGGACTCCTTTTCTGGGGACAGGAATACAAAATAAGCAGTTTATTTCTCATTACTAGCCTACAGGGTAGACAGCAATGAGTGAAGAACACTAAATAAATATCTATGCAACCAAGCTGTGACAAGTCCTACAAGATCTCATGCAGTAGAAAAGAATTGGGATGGGAGAGCTACGGTAAGTTGAGGTGACCTGGAGACCTGAGAAAACTTCAGATCATTTTAAGAATAAAGAGTATGTAGTGCAGAGGCTCTGAAGCATAAGACCATTGCTTGACATGTTGAGGAAACACAAAGAGTAGGCTGAAACAAAGAGAAAGGAAGAAAAGGGTAACACAATATGGAGATGAAACAGTAGACAGAGCATAAAACCATGCGCGGTCTGAAACTTTTTTAAAGCAGTGAAAAACAATCCAAGTAATTTGAGCAGGAAAATTATATAAGCTGATTGAAATGATAAATAGACCACTCATATGCACTATAAAAAACCGTTAGCCAGAATAGTGAAAGATGAGAATTTAGGGGTTTTTGCAGTTGTCCTGGAGAGATGATGGTAGCTTGTATGAGGGCATTGACAGGAGAGATGGAAAGATACATACTGCAGATAACCCTGATTTGCTGATCGTTTGATTATGAAGGACAAAGGAAATGGAGGTATCAAGAATGCTGCTCAGGTTTTAACTCAAGCAAATAGTTGGTAGATGTTGATACTATCTCCTGAGACAGGGAAGGCTCTAGGGAAGACACAAGTTAGTGACAAAATTTAAAATTTCTTTGATATTTTATGTTTAATCTAATTTTAAATGCTTATAAAACAGATGAGTAGGGATCGCAAAGAGGCAGTTGAACAGTCTCTACTGGCCATCCTCACTCACTCCAAAATCTGTTCTTCTGCCCTGCTCTATGCCTGCAAAGTTGACCCCACAGCATCACTCAGGCGCCCTACCTCCCCATTGAATTCAGGCATCAGGAAACACCTACAGGAGAACAGAGGGCAGGAGGAGACAGTGCTATGCATGACTTGGGCTCCCTCAGTGTTTTGAGGTGGTTTTGGCAGTGGCTGCATTTCTCAGCAATAGAGAGTGCTCTCTCCCATATGTCGGCTCTATTCTCAGCCAGTTTCTTCCCCTTTCCCAGGTCTGGGGGTGGGAGTGGCAGTGCGAAATGCATGGCTTTCTGCTGCTGCTAGGCCCTAGGTTCCTTAATATTCCTGGCTAGTTCCCTTAAATTTGCCCACAATATTGAATGACCTTTTGTCTAATTTTCACTTAAACATTTTATTGTGAGCCAGTTATTTTCTACTAAAACTGAACCTATACAGACATACAAATTCAAAGGTCAGGTGAGGTCTGGCCTGTAATTACAACTACAGCATCATTAATACATAAATCATATAAAAGCAAAGAACCTCAAGAAATAATTTTAGAAAAGAATATTAATAGTGGAAAAAAACTGAGTTAGACATTCCTAAAGTACTCTAACATTTAGAGGATAAAATAGATGAAGAAAGAGGCAGTAAAGAATACTGAGTGTCCAGTGAAGGAAGATAGATAGATAGATTAGATTAGATAGATATAGATAGATAGATAGATAGATAGATAGATAGATAGATAGATAGATAGGATAGATAGAATATGGTATCACAGATGACAGACATATAGGGAGGGAAGGTGAATTGTGTTGAGTGCTTTGAAAGGTGATAAATACGGAGAAATGAATACTGAATTTGACAGCAGGAAGACTGTTGGTGACCCTGACAAGAATTGCAGTAGTCTGAATAAAGCCAGATTAGTATTTGCCAAAAAAGTATAGGATAATGAGAAAGCAGAGATATAAACCTCCTTCAAGATATTTTTCTGATAGTCATTTTCATCTCTCAAAGGAATGAAAGCAATAAAAAATGTATATGAAGATTTATGAATAGTCTCTACATGCCATCTCTACTCACTCCATGATCTCTTTATCTGCCCTTCTCTATGCCTGGGAAGTGGATTACAGATGAGGTGTATTGGTTACACAGGTCTCCCACATAAAGGCGAGAATTCTATCACCAACCTCCAAGTCTTACAAATATCCTGTTGCCATTAAATCAATTCTGACTCATAGTGACCCTGTAGGATAAAGTAGAACTGCTCCAGAGAGGCTCCAAGGCTTTAATATTTACAGGATCAAACAACCATGTCTTTCTCCCACATAGTGACTAGTGGGTTTGACTCACCAACGTTTTGATTTGTACCAAATGCTTCACCAAGGCTCTTTCTTATAGATGTAAAACTATATAAAATAAAAGATTTATGCATTTCTTTAGATGAATAAAGACACTAGTAAAGTGATTTCAGAGAAAAGTATAAAGCTAAGAAGAATAAAACAGGTATAACACATTTTCTAGCTTCCCGTCAATCCAACTCTGGATTTAAGGGCATTTAGAGCTGATGGGTGAATTCACTGTGCCAAGGGAGGAGCAGTGGGGGGGGAGGGGAGGAGTTACACATGTACAGCACATTCCTTACCATTAATTCAGGGGATATAATATCTCTTGGACCCTGATATGGATCATCACTTGAGGCAAATGAGGCAAGTATTGACAAGCCATTGAAAACCTGTTGATAATGTTCTCCAATGCGCAGCAATAATTCATTGTGCAGTCCTTGGAAATCCTGTCTCAACAGGCTCCCCAGCTCAATTTCTGTTTCATTCTAAGCCAAAGACAAATTAAAAATAAAAACACAACAAAAAAGTACTTAATTCATATGAACAACCAGGGAATAAGTATATTTATTAAGCCCACCAACAGGAGTAAAGGCCTGACTTCAGTATTTCAGTTTCCAGAAACCTATGGGACAGATCTACTTTTGAAACAAATGGGTTCAGCGTACAACAGCAATAGTCTATAAGGAGCTCTGGACCAAGTGACAAGGTTTGCCAGTGGTGTTATGAAACTACATGAAGAAGGGATTTTTATCTTGTGGGTTTCCCATAAACAGATGTGATAAGACTTTATTTTGAAATTAAAAACAAAAGAGTTCTAGTTTTCTCTAAGAAGGATCTCATCACCATCTCAATATTCAGACATGTAATACCAGGGTGGAAATAAGAACTATAGTTTAGTGATTTCCACACCAAGATTCACTACCATCCAGTCGATTCCAACTCACAGCAACCCTATAGGACAGAATAGAACTACCCTTGTGGTATTGTAACTCTTTACTGGAGCAGAAAACTCATTTTTCTCCCGTAGTGGCTGGTGGTTTCCAACTGCTGACCTTGTAGTTACCAGCCCAACATGTAGCCACATCATCAGGACTCTGTCTGATCTAGTGATTTAAGAGCACAGTTTTGTGGTCAGGTTGCTGAGGTTTAAAATTACAGCTGATACTTATTAGTTGTGCTGTAACTTGGGCAAGTTACTCTTCGCTGATTTAGTTTCCTATCTACAAAATGGAAAATAATATTCTTTAGTTGGTAATTTTAAGAATTAAGTGACATGATCCACATACTACATAGCAGTGTCTGGCATAGAGTATGCATTCTATGAATACTTATTCATTGTTGCCATTTTACCTCCACAATATTCAGCTTTTCTTTCTCAAAGTGAATATGCATTCAATAATTCTCACATGGAAAGATGTATGTTCCTAATATATCATAAAATAAAATTCAATAAAAGAGCTTCAGAGAAGAGTAGTCACCTATGTATTTCTGACTAGTAAGTTCTCCTATTCTCATGTAGACTCACTCATATTCCACAAGCTATATTTTTTTAACTTAAAAGCTAGCAGGAAACTAGGTCAAACTGCAGTCAGAGCATTAAGTAACGAAACATTATATTACAGTTGAAAGTGGTTGCCTCTTCCTAGAGATAACTGTTGCTATGAGCTGGTATCCAGTTAGTCCCCAAACATGGTGACCTCTTGCATAAGACTAGACTGAGCCAGGTCCCGTCCCACCTCCATGAATCAATTATAGATCAGATAGAGTTTTCACTGACTGATTTTTCCGAAGCAGATTGCTAGACTTTTCTTCCACGTCTAGAAACTCCCCTGAAACCACCAGTTCAGCATCACAACAACATGCAAGATTCCAATTACAGATGGGCAGTGATTGTATTTGAAGTGCACTAGCCACATAGGTCTCCCACACAGACAGCAAGAATTCTACCACTGAGTCACTAAAGCCCATGTCCTATAGATACCCTGGTTTCAGTGAATTAATTCTGACTCCTAGTGACCCTATAGAATTGAGAACTGTCCAGAGAGCTACCAAGGTTGTAGTCTTTACAGGGTCAGACAGCATGTCTTTCTCTCACATGGGTTTGAGTCACTAGCATTTTGGTTTGCATCCGATGCTTGACCATTGCACCACCAGGGCTCTTTCCTATAGCTGTATAAAATACCGTGGAAATATGGTGGGATTAGTTTCAGACCACTGTAATAAAGTATATCAGCAAATGTTTGGTCTCCATCTCCCAGTGCGTATAAATGTCTGCACTATACTGTGTAATAGCATTATGAAATTATTTGAAATATTGTGGAAATTACCAAAATGTGACACAGAGCCATGAAGCACATGCTGTTGGAAAATGGTGCTGACAGATGTGGTCAATGCAGGATTGCCACAAACCTTCAATTTGTAAAATAATATTTTGTGTGCAAATGACAATAAAATGAGCGATGTCTGTAGTTGTCTTTATATCATTAATCAATTCATAGCTATTATCAACTAAAAATCACTACAATTAAATTAGCTTAAGACCCCTAATCATGAAAAGATAACTATCATATCCCATTATAGTGAAATAATCAAAGAAAATAAAAGATAATTCCAGTTAATAATAATAATTCACTCTAGACCCAAATTACAGAGCCCTGTGGTATAGTGGTTAGGCATTGGTCTGCAATCTGCAGGGTTGGCAGTTATAAACCACTAGCAGATCCGTGGGAGAAAGACTGGGCTTTTAACTCCTATAAACAACAACAGTCTCGGAAACCCATCACGGGGTCACTATGAGTTAACATTGATTCGATGGCAGTGAGAGACCCAGAATAAAGTTTATTTAGCCTATTACTCTAACTTAAATTACTCTAGGAGAGGTTGTAAATGACCTATTCTCCCTCATAAAAATGTGACAACTGATTTCCTAGAATTCTAATTTAAATAAAAGAATAGAATATTTATAAATATTCAATTAACTTACCTTCAAATAATGAAGGGCACGTTCTAATTCATCTTTGGAACAGGAACAGACCAAATGAGAAAAAATATATTTGAAGTTATTTATTAAAATCTCTCTACGATTGACATTTAATTGCTTCCCTAAAGTTCGAATGAGAGCTGAAGCTGCAGGGCTTGCTTTGGCAGCAAGGTCAGGGAGCAGAACTTGTAATGTCCTCTGGAAAAAAACAAACGTTAAGAGTCACCAAATGTACACAAAATATTCATATAAGCTCTGGCTAAAAATATTTTCAAATGCCACACAAATTTGGAGTCCATTTACAACTTGTATTTAAATTCAAATTTACCATTTATTCATCCAACAGACATATACTGATTCAGACACTGCAGGTACAGCAGAGAATAGGTTAGGCCTATGCTAGAATAGAGAATCATTTCTCATGAGCATGTGTTAAAATCCATCAACCTCTCAGTTTGGCACACTACTAACTGGTGGGTTCATGTGGCTGTAACTCTTGAAGATGCCACTCCACCGAAAGCAAAAACAAAACCCTAACCTGTGCCATCAGGAGATTCTGAGTCACAGTGACCCTATTTATTCTGACTCACAGTAACTGGATATAAGGTTTCCAAGATTATAAATCTTTAGGGGAACAGAAAGCCTTTCAACTTTGTATAACTACCCTATAACATTATAGATCTAATGCTATAGACCTAACATTATAGACTTAATCACTAACGGTTACATAATATAGAAGTATTATGTTTTAATTTGAATTTCTTCTCAGGGTTTTGTTTGGTTTCTATTTCATTTTGGTATTTGGATCATGCTCTTTGGTTTCCAGCGAAAAATTATTGAATGAAAAGGTATGACTATCTTGTGGTCCTTACTACATACTATTATACTTCTTTCCACAAAAACATAAGCCAATAGCAGTGAAATTTAAGGTTGTTAAAATTAGCAGTATAGTACTATCATACAAATAATTGGAAATGAATTACTTTATAATTTCTTTAAGAATAATGATAAACTGTTTTGTACGAGTAAAGATCATTTACTCCATCTATCTTCAAAACTTAGCCCCAATATCTTTTCAAAGATTCCTAAAGCATACCATTCTGTAAACTCTATCACCTAAATTCACAGCAGCTTATTTTTATACCATTTACTTTGTACCTTACTACTACAACTTCTTTGGAGTAGAAATTATCGTGTTAGACTTTGATTCATCAATAGAAGCAATGACAGCACTGAAGATGTCAATACTAAAATAGTTAATGGAATTAACATTAATCAATTAGTATTAACTCTTTAGGGAAGCTAATCAGAGTAATGACACCAATCAGTAAGAACTTAAGCCTCAAATAAAAGTGAAAAGAAAATACAGTATATACTCCAGTATAAGATGACCTGATTATCAGGCGAGACACCTAATTTTACCACAAAAACTGTATTAAAAATATGCTGAAAAGCTCGGCTTATATACAGGTAAGTAAATTTGAAAAGTTAGGCACTATGTGCTCCTTAATGTAGCTGCCTAATTTTTCCTTAAAAATAAAATCCAAAATAGAATGAACAAAATGCTAAATTGAAAAATTCAAATGTGAACTATTTATTGTAACTTACAGTAAGGAAACGATTAAGGTCAGGAAAGTCAAAAACATTGGCAATTTCAGACAAAGTATTTAAAGCCATTTCTCTCTGGTGAGCCACATCTTGCTTTCTCATCTCAACATTCTGGCACGGAGTATTAGGAAGTGCTGTCATCTGACTGGAGTGAAGGGATTCTACCAAAAACTACAGCAAGAATAATTTTATTGTTAGTTTTCACACAAGGAAGAATATTTAACTGTTACAGATAGTGTTTTAAAGATATTATCTGACATAATTTTTTAAACACTCTTAAGAGAGGTAGATTATCTCTTTCTCAACTTCCAGATGAAATAATCTACCTTAGTTCAAAAACTTGAGTATCTTGCTAAGGATTAAACCAGGTTAAGCCAGGTTTTTAACACAGTCTGACTTTGTAGTTATGAATTGAATCTATCTTTTAAAAACAAAGTGTTAAATCTATAATGCCAAAAGCATAACGGTTTTCCATCGCTAACAGGCTAAAAGAGAAGCATCTCTCTAAACATTAATAACAAAAATAACTCAATGTATTATGAGTTTCTCCCCCTCTCCCATTTATGATGGGGTACCCCCAAAAAAAATCAGAAAAAAGATCCGCTAGGTGGAGCTTTTACAGTACGCATTTTTCCTCAACTAAGCAAGCATCCAGCAACTCGCTCTGTTAGTGCACCCACTGGTGTTACCTGGGAAGGTTCTCTCTGGTCACAGTGAACTTTTTTGAAAAAGCAATTTCGCTCAAACCTCGTTTTTTGTGATGGCTGATTTGAGAACAGCATGTGGCTGTGAAATTTTGTTTCCTGCTCAGAAAAAATGCCGCAGAAATTGTTGTTGAGTTGTTAAGTTGTTAAGATGTTGAGTTGTTGAGTTGTTAAGATGTTGACTACAACTTACAAGGACAATGCTATGGAAAAATCTCAAGTGTACAAGTGGTATTCACGTTTCAAAAAAGTGAAATGTCGACTGATAACAAACCTTGTTCTGGACGTCCGTCAACTTCCCAAAAGGATGAAAATATTGATGGTAGTGCAGTTGGAGTTTGTTCCACCAGGTCAGATTGTTAATCAAGCTTTCTAGTTAGAGGTTCTAAAAAAATTGCTAACAGTGTGTGACCAAAAAAGGCCTAATTTGTGACAGATGGGGGACTGGTTTTGCTACCATGACAATGCATCTGCTCACACAGTCATCTCAGTGCACCAGCTTTTGGCAAAAAAACAACAACAAACAAACAAAACAGCAAGTCTCTCTTTCCCCATGCACCTGGCCTTCATTGGGACTTCTTTTTGTTTCCATGAGTGCAGAGAGACGTGAAAGGACAGCTATTTGACTATGTAGAAGAGGTGAAGAAAAAAAACACGAGGTGCTGCTTTCAATAGTCCAAACAGATGAGTTTGAAAAATGTTTCCAAGAATGGAATCGCAGATTTAAAAAGCGTATTAAGTGGAATGCAGAGTACTCTGAAGATGATAAGGTTGTTTTGTAAAAAGCTAAATACATAGCTTTGAAAAACAATTCCAGGCTTTTTGGGGGTAGTCCCTCATATAATCACATCTCAGACCAAGATACTAAATATAAAACTGGCATGATTTAAGTTCTTTTGAAAAAACTGAGAACACTGAAAAAGGAGATCTCTTAAAACAAGTAAAATAAAATCATATGTCCCTTTTCCTATTATATAAATTATTTATCCCATTTCCTATTATTTTCCTGTATTGTTATTTACTATAGGCAAGAACAATGTCAACTCTCACCTGACAGATGGGTTTCTTATATTGACTGAAAAAGTTTTGCAGTTTAATACTTTTAGCTGCAACCAGAGCTCTAATTTCTGTGTATGCTGCTCCAGAGACAGACGCTGACTTGGATAGTAAACAATGCAGTAAGTGCAGAAGTGCAAAAGGTACCAAATCTCCTTTTGCTGCCCTAAAACATTAAAATATATATATTGTCATGTATCAGAAACAAATGCAAACCTACAAATATACGTGTGCTGATATATTTTTTCTTTTTATAATACCTTACCATTCATATCATTATTTTTAACATGAGGCAAGTGAAAAATGAATGGCCCAAATAAATGAGAATAGACAAACATTTCCAGGTATACCTGCCAATATCCCCTGTTGTAAGAATCAAGGTATCCTTCAACTCGTTATTTCTTGATATTTGGGCATGTGTATATGCTTCCTTCATCCTTAAGACAAAAAGCTACAACAAGAAAATTAACTGGTTAAAGAAATTTTTAGAGCCAGTTTTATGAAATCACAAATTCTGAAAAGTAAAAGTTATCAACCTCTTTTATAAATCCATCTTCAGACTCCAAGGATCCCAATATATGCTTGATATTTCCACTAAAAGCCACTCGAACTTTCTTGTCTGGATCTTCCATTAGATTTAGCAAAGTCTCGAGAACTGCTTTTACGTCTGTTTCATCTTCCCTAAAATCAAGATGCTTGCAAAGATGATGTAGATTATCTATGAAAGCTAAAGAGAGCATATAAACCTAATTTAATACATTACATATCAAAGTTTTTCTGCTAAAATATTGCTGGCAAGTAATATACTACAAAGAACTTTAACTTGTCTTATAATGCTACATTTAGATTCTTGGTAGTATATTATTTAAAAGATTAAAGTAGATTCTTATAAAAATTTAAGTTCAGTTATACTTAGTAAAAATTATTAAAAAGTTCTGAAAGTTGAATTCCAATCTAAAATAAGTTCTAAATCCTGAGGAGAAAACAATGGGACTGATGGTTCTGGGGGGACAGGGGAAAAGAGGAGGTGGGGGGAAAGAAGGGGGAAATCAACAAACTCAGGGACAAGGGAACAACAAGAGATCTAAAATAGATGGAGAGGAGGGCATAGAATGCCTAGTGGGGTTTGATCAAAGTGCAATGTAGCTAAGTGGAAATACCGAGAGCCGAATGACGTTTGAACATGATAGTGCAACAGGAGGAAAGTAAAAGGAAATACAGGAAAGAACTAGGAGGTAAAAGACAGTTACAGAGGTATAAACATAGGAATATAGGTCTATGTAGATATATTTATAGGTTAAGTATTAAGGTAGCAGATGGACATTGGGCCTCTACTCAACTCCTCCCTCAACGCAAGAACACTTTGTCCTAATAACCTGGCATTCTGTGATGCTCATTTTTCCGACAAGATTGCTGAAGACAAAATGGGTGCATAAAGCTAATGTGGTAAAGCAAGCTGATGGGTCCCCAGCTATTACAAGATACAGATTCTGGGTCTTAAATGCTTCAAGTTAAACAAGCAGCCATCTAGCAGGGAAACAGCAAACCCCACATGGATGAAGCGCACCATCCCATGTCAGCACGAAGTGTCAATGGGATCAGGTATAAGGCATCAAAAGACCCAAAACAACCAACCATTTCGATGTAAACAAGGGGGGTCAGAATGGAGACCCAAAGCCCATCTGTAGACAATTGGACATCCCCTCACAGAAGAGTCACAAGGAAAAAACGAAACAGACAGGGTGCAGTATAGCACTGACAAAACACACAGCATTCCTCTAGTTCTTTAATGCTTCCTCCCACCCAACTATCATAACCCCAGTTCTATCTTACAAATCTGGCTAGACCAGAGCATGTACAATGGTATAGGTAAGAGCTCTCGACACACAGAATCCAGGGCAGATAAACCCCTCAGGACCAATAATGAAAGCAGCAACACCATGAGGGTAGAGAAAAATGACTGACGTAGCCCCCCACCCTCCCCAGGGGGACGAACAACAGAAACGTGGGTGAAAGCAAACTGGATGGTGTAAAATGTAAAATATGAAAATAAAAATAATTTATAAATTATCAAGGGTTCCCGAGGGTGGGAAGTAGAAGGGAAAAAAGTACAGCTATACCAAGGGCTCAAGTAGAAAGAAAATGTTTTGAAAATGATGGCAATATATGAACAACTGATATATGGGTTGTTTTAGCAGCTGTAAACACCCCCAATAAAATGATTTATGAAAAAAATTAAAGTAATAAAAAGTGTGGGCAACACTGATGACTGCGAAAATAATAATAAAATAAAGTTCTAGAATATTGTAAGTTATTTAATGAATAGGATACTATCAGATTTTAAATCAGGAAACTTGAATTAAAGCCAATCTTAGTGTTATTATTAACCACATTACAAGATTTAGGGAGAACTTACAACCAACTATTGCTTTGAAAACTTGGCAAGTTGCAACTAACCACCTAACCTACTTAAACCACACTACCTAAATTTACTGGCCTTTGAGCTTCCAAGTACTCTATAAATCTTATACTCTCAACAAACCTATTTCCATTACTATTGAAAAGTGACCAAAGGATACAATTATAGTCCCCATATACTATTTGAGGTTCAGAAAGGCCCACAGTAGTGGCAGAGAACACATTAAGGTCTCTGGTATTACTAAATATGACAAAGAATATTGAACCTCACAATGTGAAACTAATTATTCATCAGGATGCCATACTAGGTGATCAAATCAGAGGAACATTTTAAAAATCCAAAAGTCACTTGCCCTTGTTAATTTTGTGATGCAGTCTAATATTAGGCAACCCATTTAAAAGTAACTATTATATGACCACTGAACCTGTCAATCACTTGACTTGCTATAATTTCTGGTGACATCAGGCTAATTCTATCAATAATTTGAAAAATACTTTACATAGTTTTAATAATATTAAGTAAATCATAACAAATCACTCACCAAGTTTTACTGGGCTGGATGTTTTCTTTTTCAGGAGGAAAAGGAATGGTTTACAGACAGAAGCTTTTAGTCGAGAGGATGAACATTCATGTTGAGAAGTGGCTTTCAGGCTCCTACAGAAGAGGTCTGCACATCCGTGTTCAGAGAAAGGCTCTGTTAAAGAACTTGCCAAGTAGAACTTGCCATGAAGAGTACAGACAAGTTGGCCAAGTATAGAAGCAAATTCTCTCTTGACAATGTCTGAATCGTCTTTGACTTTATCTCTAGAAATGGGAAAAAGGTAAAAAAACCTTGCTTAATTTTGTGATGTAAAAAAGACACACTTTTAAGTTTATTCAATGCACAGAAGAAAAAGGTTTTATTGTGTTAACTTATAGACATACATGATTACATGCAGAAATATATAACAAAACACTGGCCATTTCAACATTTCTTAAATGTACAATTAAGTGATGATAACTATATTCCCCATGCTGTGCAATCATCACCACCGTTTCCAAAACAGAATGGAAAATAAAGTAATTTTGCAACTGAAAGTAGAATTTACTCTGTCAAAAATAACCAAATATTTGCAAATACATCCACAAAACTATGACTGTGCCAATAACACAGCATATTTAAAGGAATACATACATAAGAATCGTGGGGACTCTGTGATAAGAACTCTGTTGCTGTAATAAGATAAAGGATCCACGAACGCAACTAGCCCGGATTACTTCATGGGAGCTCTGCAGTGCCCAGCTATAAACTGCTGTTCTCCATTCCAGGAATATCCTCCTTGGAAACAGAGTGAGAAGAAACACACACCGTGATTGTGCCTGTGGTGCTGAAAAAAAGGAAGTGTATTAAAAAATATGCCTACCAGTGTGTGTTACATAAGCATATGCATGTATTCACTGTAAAATCATGCAACATTTAAAACTTATGTAATATCCAATTTAATGAAAAAGTCCTTTATAGAAAATGCATACTATTTATGCTCACTGAAAAAAGTCTGTACACAGCCTCATTAAGTAATCAGAGAAATGCAAATTGAAAATGCCATCTGTCAGATAACAGTGAAATTTTTTTTAATATACTACCCTCTTAAAATTTTGTAATTTTAGATAGCAAAACTTTTGAATTCTGATCATCACAAGTGTTAGTAAGCATGCAGAGCTGTCAGAGATCTGAGTTCTGCTAACAGCATGTAAACTGGCACATCTTTAGAGAGCAGCAGGCAAATACACTTTGAAAATGTACAAACCTTAAAACTAAGAACTCCACTCCCAGTGAAATACTGTGGGGAACAGAAGGATTTCTCTTCAAGTGTAAAAGGAGTGACTTTTTGTTCAAACAGAAGCAGCATCTAGGAATTAATTCTGGCACTTGAGTTCTAGGGGTTACACGTATGCATTGTGAAGTTTTCTTCCTCTCATATTAAAGGCCTCATGCTTTCTATTCCTGAGTTCATACACCTGCTGGCCCTCCCCGCTCTAGGGGACAGAAGGTGGCCAGCGGAGCCTCCCTGGTTAAATCGGGCAATGCCAAAGCAGAAATCCCTCCTCCACCTGCCTGGGCTTGCTTTCTGATTCAGAGATAAGTCAAGATGCAGAGAGAGAAAATGGCAAAAAACCACAGCCACCAAAGGCAGCCTGAAAGGCTGAGTTACTTTTCCGAGGAAAGGCAAGTCACACTCCTGGGATTTGACTCCAACAAGGGGGAGGACACTTCCAAGTAATGGCATGATGGATTTACACCATCCCAGGCCATCTAACGACTTACCTGCTCTAACCTTTCCTTTGCTCTTCTCACATGTAAGCAGTACAGTTAAAAAAGAAAACAATGTACCCTACCATTGAAAGATAACTTTCCAATACATCTTTGCATACAGAATTCACTGAGGCTAAGGTAGAGCCAGGAATGTCTCTAATTCCTTTACCCCATCCCTGAACCGGACTGAAGGGTCACTTTCCCTCGTGCGGCTGTCAGGCTAATCTGAGCCATAGTCTACACAGACAGGCTGCTTCTTCCTTTCCTTTGCCTCTAGCCCAGGCCTCTTTTGTTTCATGTGGGATCAGTACTTTCCTGTCCCTTTGAAGTTGTGGGAAGGAAATTCCCCATGAAGAAACAAGTCCTCAATGTGTACTCTGGACTCTCATGTAGAACAGTCAACTGATCATGAGAATACGAACCACCTAGAGTAATGGGTATGCCAAGAACAGCAACACAACACAGAGACCCACTCTTCCAGTCCACATCAGGCCTGTCTCCCATGGTTTCTATCCATCTCTTCCTTCAGATCCAAGAACTCTCTTTGCACCCAACACCTGTGTATTGTTATCAATCACCTGCCCAGCAAACCCTATAATCCAGCCTGCTACCCAGCCCAGTAACATCAAGAGGGAACGACTATCTACGAGCTAGACAGTTAACTATGCCTTGACATTCCTGTTATCTGAAAAGTTGCCTGTGCCCTTCTTACAGGTTGATGCCGACAGACCCATATCACTTAAAGAATGTTCATAGTTAAGGCTCGACTTAAGAAAATGACGAGAAGCAACATAAAGGAAAGGTATTTCCAACAACACTGCCGTGCCTCTCAATGAGCTTGCTCACACTGGGACTTTGGTTTGGCTTCCCAAACCCACAATGGAAAAGGAAAAGTTGCAGGTCTTTTGTTTTGTTTTTAAAGGCATTGGGCTACTTTCCTCCTGCCCTCTTCTTTCTTCCCTGAACAAGAGTTTACAACTCCTCATGGCTTCTGTGATAGGTGACAGTCCATGAAACACAGCGGCTCAGAGACAAACAGCTCCTGTGCCTTCTCAGTCCCACTCTAATTGGCATTAAGTTTCATGTTTCCTGAAAAGTTTTTGTTGTTGTTTAAAAAAGGAAAAGGAAAAAATGCCAATCAATGACAACAAAGGAGAGGGAAAAAGCATCTGAACCACTTCTCCCTCCCTCCAAGTTAAGACTGAGATGCTCTTATTCCTCCTCTGAAAAAAATTATGAAGAAACAATCCAGGCAAAATACTTATTAATGGTCGTTCGTTGCTCAACCTCCAACCATGCCCCTTCCCTCTGACGTATATCTCTCAGAGCAAAAAGAGAAATAGAAATTCATCAATGGCTTCCCGTATACAAATATTATAGAAAAAACCCAACGGCTGGAACCTGAACTACCACAGGACCAGAAAGTATCTTGGCCCGTTGAGTTTCCTTGTCAGAAAGGGTAGGTCTCAACCGGAAATGGAGGCTCCTCCTCCTTTCAGTCAAATACCCTCCCATGTCGTACTCACCAGGAAAAAAGTGTGTTCATATCCCACCTAATTTACAACAGAAGAAATCCCCATCCCATCCCCCAAACATAAAAATACAAGTCTATGCCCCGAGAATGATCAAACCAGTGAGGTGAGCAATGCTACCATGTAATATGTCTGACTGTATTAGTGTATTATCTCTCATGCTCTTGATGACTTTAATATAATGCTTATATACCTCAACTGTACAATTGTGCTTACTGAACCCGTGGGTAGTATTAGTAGTAGCGGTGGGGGCTGGCCCCTCACCCCCCCATCGCCATTTTAACTTAATACTACAAAATACCTTCAAATAGTGTTTCTCAAACTTCAATATGCAAAGGAATCATCTAGGGAATCTTTTAAAAATGAAGATTCTGATTTCGAATTCCTGAGTGATGCTCAATATTTTACGCTTCTAACAAGTTGGCCTATAGACCATAACTTTAAAACAACCAGGCAATCATATCATTGTGTGCACACCTCAGCGATAAGAACAATGTAGACAAACGGATGCATGAGCAAATGTGGTGAAGAAATCTGAGGATGCCCGGCTATCAAAAGATATAGCGTCTGGGGTCTAAAAGACTTGAAGGTAAACAAGCGGCCATCTAGCTCAGAAGCAACAAAGCCCACATGGAAGAAGCACACCAACCTGTGTGATCATGAGGTGTCGAAGGGATCAGGTATCAGGCATCATCAGAACAAAAAATCATATCATTGTGAATGAGGGGGAGTGCAGAGTGGGGACCCAAGACACATCTGTGGGTAACTGGACATCCCCTTACAGAAGGGTCGCGGGGAGAAGAGCCAGTCAGGGTACATACAGTGTAGCAACGATGAAACTAACAACTTGCCTCTAGTTCCTAAATGCTCCCCCCCCTCTGCCCCCCACTATCATGATCCCAATTCTACGTTACAAAACTGGTACAGATAGGAACTGGAAACACAGGGAATCCAGGGTGGATGATCCCTTCAGGACCAGTGGTGTGAGTGGCGATACTGGGAGGGTAGAAGGAGGGTGGGTTGGAAAGGGGGAACCGATTACAAGGATCTACATGTGACCTCCTCCCTGGGGGACTGACAACAGAAAAGTGGGTGAAGGGAGATGTCAGACAGTGTAAGATATGACAAAATAAAACTATAAATTATCACGGGTTCATGAGGGAGGGGGGAATGGGGAGGGAGGGGTAAAAAATGGGGGGCTGATGCCACAGGCTTAAGTGGAGAGAAACTGTTTTGAGAATGATGAGGGCAATGAATGCACAAATGTGCTTTACACAATTGATGTATAGATTGTGATAAGAGTTGTATGAGCCCCTAATAAAATCATTTAAAAAAAAGAGCTGTAAGAGCCCCCAATAAAATAATTTTTAATAAAATAAAAATAAAACAACCAGGCTTTAGAAGTGCCCTAAGAGCCATTTATGAAGATAGTAATTGAAATTTTATTTGTAAATGGGAAACTAGATTGTCCATCAGGTAATAGCTATTCAGTAAATTGGCTACTATTTGAAAATTTAAATAAAAAACTAGAATTGCATGAATGGCCATTACTATCTCAAAAATATGATTTGGACCAAAAACCATGTGCTGCAAAATGGAAAACAATTCTATAACCTACTTGGGGATATAGCCCTATCTGAGAGGGCTTGAAAAAGTTCACTGAAAAATTTCATGATCTTTTCCATTTTTCCAAGAACTTTTAAAAATCAGCTCATATAGTATACAACACTCCTCCAAATAATAAGCACCCAATTCCGACAACTGCTTATTTCTGGATGAAACTAAAGGGAATGCCACTAAGGAGAGACAATCAAAGGGTTTCCATTATATCCGTAATGGTTTCATTTAAATGGGACAGCCAGGTCATAGTCTCTCGTCTTATTCTGCACTCTTTCTCTGTGTCTCAAATACTTAAAATGTTAAGTTAGGATAAAGATACATAAATATACATATCAAAATTTTTATAGAAAGAAAGGGAATAGGATATGGGGGAAGATTTTCATGTTACTCTTTACACGTCTAATGCCTTTTTGAATTATTTAAAATACACCTCTTTTCCAATGAAGTGTTAAAAACTTCATACACACAGATGAGTTAAAGCAAAATAAAATGCACGAATGAACATAATTTTGTGATCACTTACAGTAGCTATCTGAAATCCTCTGGCTTAATGTAAGAAGGCTAGTGGCAAATGATGTCAACTTTAAAGAGCCATCATCAGAATGGGAATAAATCCATGGCAGTGAGAGCATTCCACAAATATCTTGCAGAATTTCATCTTCAAATGAACTTTTTACTAGAGAAACACACAACATTCAATAAACTGAAGTACTTTACACAGAGGCCCATAACTGTGAACCCAAGTTATATGAGATCCTCTAAGAATATGCATATATGCATTTTAGAGGAAAACCACAGATTTTCAAGTAAGTAAATTTAGAAGTTATAAATTATTTGCATTTACTAAGTAATACCAAATCAAAATACCACACAAACAAATCTGAAACCAAGAAATTATTCACAAGCTTAATAAAGCTGAAGTCAAGAAAAATCTTTTGCGTATCCCCAAGTATTTGTGTATTTAGAGTCAGGTTAAAAAGAAAGCCTATTACTATGATGATTGCCTTTAAAGGTTATTCAGATTTATTTAACTCACCTTGTATATAAATCAAAGCATCATATATTTTCACTATTTTATCAATGATTGTGGCCAAGTCAGGTTTTTGAACAGATTCTAACAAATTCATACAACTCTTTAGCACTTTTGTACAAAAATCCAAAGACATCCAAGTTATCACTACAGAAGGTTTCTTCTTACATTTGTATTGGGACTCCTTGAAAGTATGGCTGCAATTAAATTTTTTTTAAATAGTTACTATAATTAAAATGAACTTTATAATAGTCAAACCTAATATTGTAATAAAGTCTAAACAAATTGAGTACAAAACTAATTACAAACTGAACCCACTTCAAAGTAAATATGCAAGTTAATCAAGATGCTATTATTAAATTCAATCTCTGTATCAGCTTAAATCGTTCTTTTTTCCCCCAACAGTTTTATTGGCATATAATTCACATATCATACAATTCAATAGTTCAATCACATCAAGATGAGTTGTACAATCATCACCAAAATCAATTTTAAATCACTCTTACAATTTGGAAACTAATCTAAAATGAAGGTGACATCTTTCACTTAAAAGTGTCAAGTATGTTTCATATAGTTAGATAGGTGGCAAAGGTCTAGAAAAAGTTTAAAATCTATTAAACTAGAGCTAAGAGGGGAGTAAAGAGATTTTTTTATTCATTTCTAAAATCTCTAGTGATTTAAAAACTGAGAAATCTTAAAGCCTTGTAAGTAGGCAGGCCCAGTCTTGAAAATAACAAAGTCCTACACTCAGTAATATTTCACAATTGACACTTAGTCTTTGTATTTTATGCTCTGTATTTTTAAGCATGAACTATATGAAGAAATTATAATTAAAAATTTAATACGTCGGGGTCTTAAAGGCTTGAAGGTAAACAAGCGGCTATCTAGCTCAGAAGCAACAAAGCCCATATGGAAAAGCACACCAGCCTGTGTAATCACAAGGTGCCAAAGGGATCAGTTATCAGGCAACAAAGAACAAAAAATCATATCATTGTGTGCTCACCTCCCCGATATGATCATTGAAGACAAATGGGTGCATAAACAAACGTGGTGAAGAAAGTTGATGGTGTCCGGCTATCAAAAGATACAGCATCTGGGGTCTTAAACATTGGGTCATCAGAACAAAAAAATCCTATCATTGTGAATGAGGGGGAGTGCAGAGTGGAAACCCAAGACACATCTGTGGGCAACTGGACATCCCCTTACAGAAGGGTTGTGGGGAGGAGACGAGCCAGTCAAGGTGCAATGTAGCAAAGATGAAACATACAACTTTCCTCTAATTCCTAAATGCTCCCTCCCACCCCCCACTATCATGATCCCAATTCTACCTTACAAATCTGGCTAGAATAGAGGATGTACATTGGTACAGATAGGAACTGGAAACAGGGAATCCAGGGCAAATGATCACTTCAGGACCAGTGGTGAGAGTGGCAATACTGGGAGGGTGAAGGGAGGGTGGGGTGGAAAGGGGGAACCAATTACAAGGATCCACGTATAACCTCCTCCCTGGGGGATGGACAACAGAAAAGTAGGTGAAGGGAAACGTCAGATCGTGTAATATATGACAAAGTAATAATTTATAAATTATCAAGGTTTCATGACAGAGGGGGTAGCGGGGCGGGAGGGGGTAAAATGAGAAGCTGATGCCCGGGGCTTAAGTGGAGAGCAACTGTTTTGAGAATGATGAGGGCAATGAATGTACAAATGTGCTTTACACAATTGCTGTATGTATGGATTGTGGTAAGAGTTGTATGAGCCGCTAATAAACCGATCAAAAAAAATTTAATACATCAAAATGATACTAATTTGGACCAGGAGGAGAAATGCTATCTTGTATCAGTAAAAATAATGGGTAATACTAAGAATATTTTAAGGGTGGGGGGTGGAAGATCGGGAGGGTAAGGGGGCAAGGGGAGCAAACAATTTATCTGTGACGGGGGAGGAAGTACTAGAACCGATGGTGATTACTCAATTTATTTTAAGTGATTTAAAAGTGGGGAAAAAAGAGAAAGTGTTCTAAAATTGATTGTGGTAATGATTGTACAACTCTTCTTGATACGACTGAACAATTGAGTTGTGAGATATACAGATTAAGTGCCAATAAAATTATTTTTAAAATTTTAATACATCATTAAAATGTTATCAGTTTGATTCAGCTAAGTACCAGCTAGCAAGTTCTTATAACAAACTGAAGTGAGTTGTTTTAAATTAACATATTAACTATCCATAAAGATGGGCACTTTCCAACCACATTAAACATTTTATTCAAATGGCACCGCGCAGACACACACAAACACACACACAATGTTAATAATTGGACTTGTCAATCCTTTCTTCATGATAGGCCAAGGGTAGACTTCAGCATAATTAGCTATCCATCTAAATTTTCTTAAATTCTAAAATAACTGGAATCTGAATTAATAGTTTCTCTAAAATCTTTTTCACAACTACTGAGCAGTGGAAAGTGTGAGTCAGGAAATACAGAATAAATGGTCATGTAAAAAGCTAACAGAGTACTGGTCTATACTAGGGCAGTAAAAAATAACACTAAAACAACTTCCTGGTCTCTTCTAATAAAAGAAACATATACTAAGAATACTCTGCCACCACCGAGGTCTAAATCCCTACTCTAATTACCAAAGGGAGAAATCGAGTTGCGTGGTGAGAACTGGCTGTGGAGTGGACTAGAAATGTACCCTGCTACTTGATGTCATACTAGACGAGGTGTCCTCAGGAAAGTCACTTCAAGGCTTCAGATTAAGAGCCTCAATTTCTCTAAGCTTCAATGTTTAATTTGTAAAGTGAACATCACAACATTTACCCCACAGGTTTGTTGTAAAAAGTAAAAAAAAAAAATCTGTATATTGTTTTGCAGTGCCTACCGTTTAGTGCATTCAATAAAAATTAAGTTTCTTGTCCACTTCGTTGAAAAGTTTGTGCTCCAAGTTCACTCAAATGAAGTGAAAAAGTAGGTCTTGTAAATCAGTAAATTCAGGTTCACTATAGGAAGTCCACTCAGAAAACGCAAGAGGTTGTCTTACCTGTCCATAGTTTGGTGAGAACAGTGAACAGTACACAGAGAGGTGAGTTGCAGGACAACAGCGATTCCTTCTAAAGTCTCAATAACAGAATTATTCAGACTGCTGGGTTCAAGAAGAACCTGAAGGGATTCGGCTTTCTGTTCCAGTGCACTCCATAACATGCTCTTTTTGCTCATATTCACATGTTTAATTCTATAATGAATTATAACCACAGTAGGAAAATATTAATATTCAACATAAATTTGGTTCAAATGTGAAAAATATTTTATTTAGTTGACACTAAATAAAAATATTTATTGTCAACTACTAAAATGCATACTAAGTTTAAAACAATGATTTCAGGGCTGGGTGAAATATGGCAATTCTGTGACTATAGTAAAAAAACAGTATATTTGCTAACATTTTGAAAATTGCAGATTATTTAATTAGTTGTAGAGATCTTTCATATATGAAAAAGTTAAGTTAGAATGGCCTGTAAAGACATTCAAAGAGAACATAGTTAACTATGAGTGTTTCATACTAGAAATAGACTAGAGAAACTATTAAAATATTTGAAGCATTCCTTTGACCCAGTGTAGGAAGAACAGAGGTTCTTTGAATGTCTAAGTCAAAGCACTTCACAAACGGTAATTTTAAAAAGTGACTAAAACTTTCCAAAGCAACGGACAACAAAGAGAATGATGGTCATACTCTTCAGTCTGTGTTTGTGCTCTTTTGGAAGAAATCAAGGACAAGCTGAGTTGGTGTCTTTTGGGTGAGATTCCATCACTATTACTGCTGAGTCTTTCCTGTTGAGTTTGGCACTGAATCTCCTCAAGGATTTCCATACTTTCCATTTTTAAGGCTTCATAAAGTGGTCCCAATAAGTACTGAAAAAACAAAATTCCAAAACTATCTCCCAGAAGTATGATTCCATTATATATCCACAGCAAGAATGCACTAAACATTAGTTATATGTTTATCTGGTAACATGAACAATTTTTCAGTCTCATAAGGCAAAACAAAGACCCAAGTAAATCTATAGTAACTTTACTCCATATCACCTGTGGCTCTGTAGTCGTAAAAGGCTTAAGACAAATTCCTTGCTCCTGTTTTTTCCCAATACCACAAAGAAAAATTCTGTAAATACTGACTTCCTTCATAATAGAAATCTGGCAAACTTTATAGATTAAAAAATTAATCAAATTACTGCATATATACTTTATTGTAATGCTTGTACTGCCTCCCATAATACAAATAGGAAAAAGGGCATACTTTTGCATGGTTATACAATTTTGGATTTTCTAAAAGTGATTCATTATGAGTCAAGGATAAGATCTTTGTGGGTATTCAGCAATAAAAAGCTTCTGCAGTAAGCTAATCACCGGTCCCCTTTAAAATAACAATTAATACTGTAACAAACATACTTCCCACATCCTACTTTAAAGCGTTTTATTCCATTGGCACTTCACTTCAAATCCTTCTTTAAAAAGCCCATACTAAGGAATCAGAAAAACACTCTGTTCTGGACACACATTATTATTAATTATTATTAAAGAGTCTATTTTCTCCTGGTCACATCTTGCACTTAGGCATACATTCACATACATATCATTTAAATATATATCATTTTGTTTAAATACTTAGTAAGTAACTGGCATCATGACTCACCTCTGCATTTTCCTGAACTCCAAGCACATCCACAAGAGCTCTACAAATATTTCTTACATAGACCTTCCTAACTTGTAAAGCAGATTCATATCCAGCTGGCACATATTTAAGAAAGTACTGCAGTAAATGGCACAGAGCTGCTTTTAGTAAATCAGACTTAAGCTGCATAAGCACGCCAGCTTCAAACATGACACAGAGTTTTTCCAGCAGCATATTTAAATAGACAGGTTCAATATTTCTATAAGCTTCTGCTTCAAAGGGGAATACAGTCTTCACCAACTTTGATAATGGCTCTTCATAAAGTTTCAGTTGGTTGGCATCCATTTCTACAAGGTGCTTTAATAATTCTAAAAATGAGCTGAAAAAAGTGCTGGCTGGTTGTTGTGGTAGTCCCCCAAGTTCAAAGAGTTCGGTTATAAGACTAATTGCTAAGGATTTAATCTTTGGGCTACCATACTCTAGCAGAGCACAACCTATGTGCCAAAGTAAGAGTTCTTGCCTTCTGAAAAACACAACTGCAATGATACGAATAAGAACCGTTAATAAAGTGTCTTCAATAAATTCTAGATTTTGCCAACTCCAAACCTGCAAAGGAGCTGGTTGTAAATGTCCCATGTGTTCGTCTATGTGACTTACAAATCGGCTCACTACCACTGGCCATTCCACAAAGTATCCCATTGTATTTCTTCTGTGGAGGCAAATCAAGTCTTCAAAAAGATTCAATAATTCCTGTGTCAGTACCCCCAAAATGGCAGGACTCTTGCTTTTGAAAAGAAATAATAATGAACAGATGACTTCACAGATTTTCTTGTGTAACAGTTGACATGTTGGAGTTGCTGCAATCCTCAGAAGTCTTGTTATAATCCAATTACTGAATTCTTGGAAATAAACAAAAGTATGTTAAATAAACAAGTATTTCAGAAAACCCAAAATCAAACTCATTGCTGATTCCAACTCATAGACACTACAGGACAAAGTAGAACTACCCCCAGTTTTTTAAGTTGTAATACGGGAGAAGTAGAAAGTCTCATCTTTCCCCTGTGAAGGAGCCATGTTAAGGAGGGCCGTGTCTTATGTCATGTATCTGTCTAGGACAGTGTGCAAACGTCTGTCCTAGCTGGTTCTCATAAACTGCTTCTTTACTGCAAACAATAAGGAATTTGGGGAACAGCTGCATACAGTGTTCCAGGGGAGCAGTAAACAAGTGCAGTATGGGCTTAGATGTGGAACTCTGTCAAGACTATGAGAAATTCAAGCGTGGGAATAGTGAACTTATCTGGGAACACTGCCAGTATTTAGTAGATAAGAATAAAGCGCTGTGCTCCGTCAGGGCTGCAGTTTTGTACCGTCTCTGTCTGTGTTTATTTTGTGCTGCGGTCCTGTATTGTCTCTGTGTGTGTTTGGTTCTTTGTTCATTTTCCCTACTGGGAAACCACAGCACCCTGCAGGGTGGCTGGTGGATTTGAACTGCATGCTGACTTTGTGATTAGCAGCCTCTCTCATAACCCAGTTTACCTCCAGGGCTCCTTAAATGTATCAGAAGTGCTAATTAACTTGCCAGATTCTTGAATATGGATTTTTCAAGTGTTATTGGCAGGTGCTATAGAGTCGGTTTCAACTCATTAACAAACTCTAAAGGACAAAGCAGAACTGTCCCATATGGTTCCTTGACCGCACATCACCAGTTCTTTTTCCATGAGAGCCCTTGGAGAGATTCAAACTGATAGCCATTTGTGCTGTCAGGGATCCTTTTAAAGTATTAAAGTATATACTTTCCTAACAAAATAGTTTAAAACAGCCACTGCACAAATGAAATGTATGGTACCAGTGAAGAATATCATGTTTGGATTCAGACAGAAAAAGTCCTAACTTTCCACTTACCACCTGTGTGAACTTGAACAGGTCACTGCATAACAAACTTCTGTAACCTCAGTTGTAAAAAGGGAATCATAATACCTACACCATGGGTGATTTAGGGTTTTAGCTGGCTGCATACTGGTTACACATTTAGTTTGCAATCTGCAAGGTCAGCAGTTCGAAACCACCTGCCAGCTCCAGGAGAAAGGTTTCTACTCTTTCAGAGTTACAGTCTGGTAAAGTCACAGGAGCAGTTCTACTCTATCCTACAGGGTCGCTATGAGCCGGCACTGACTTATGATCAAATAAGATATATATGTAAAATACCCAGCACAGAGACTGAGTAGAAAATTGCTCAATAAATAACAACATTTATCATTCCAACAAATGTTAATGGTGAGTATGTCCAGGAGGACAAGAGTAAATCTGTCATAGCAGTCCTATCCTTATGAATCTCACACACGTTTCTCCCCTGGAGGATTATAATGAAGCAATGAATTTCACATCATGATAAAGAACTGCTGTTGTTAGCTTTACTATCACTGAGATTATTGTAAACTTGATTATGTGGATGGAATCACAGTATGATACTTGGTCAGTTGACCTCCCTCTTGACCCAACCTGAATGGGTTCTAGGCTTAAGTATTTCTCGCTTGTTCTACAACAGAAATTTCTTCTTTGACTTTTTAAATATTGTTGGTGGTCTTTTCTTTCTCATTGTTTATTTTTATCTTTACATTTTTATTTTCTTCTTTCTGTTCAGTTTTGTTTTTGTTTAATATGCTAGGTTTCTCAATTTATGAAGCACAAAAGGAGCAGATGCGTAAAGACAATAACTAGATGGAATGGTTTATAAAGGACAAGGGCTGGGGAAAGTGAGGGGAAGTGAGGAGCAAACAACTAGAAGTGATTGTAAGGATGTATATACAAGCTCTGTAAAAGTGACTTAACCATGGAACTATATATGAATTTTATATCAAGAAAACTACAAAAAACAAAACAAACCAAAGTTGATCAATGGTTACCATGGGTGAAAGTAGAATTTTTGCTTGGGGGGCACTGAGTTTATGTTAATAGCGATGGAATAATTTGGAAAAAGATATCAATAATGGTTGCACAACAGAGTATAAGCAATGGCACAAATTATATGGGTAGAAGGTATTGAATTGGAGAATGTTTTGTTATGTATATTTTTGCCAATATTAAAAAAAATTACACTAATAACAGTAAGTACAAGGAAGAAGAAAATGTTCTAAATTTGATTTTGGTAATAATTGTACAACTCTTAATATGACTAAACTA